GAGTGGTATGATTTAGTATCTATTACTTTTCTTCTTGATATTTTTAGAATAACTATTTGTATCCAATATATTAAAATACAAGGAACATTCTATCTCATGAGATTTTCTTTCCTAGTTGTAAACATTACCACATTCTTTATATTACGTAAAATATGTAAATACTTACCCTTGATGGTACCCCTGTATAGAGGTTAGTAAAGATGATAGGTCACCAATTCTCAGGTATTTATAAAATTATCTCATTAAAATTAATCTAAAAGAGTTGAAGTTATTATATATAGAATTGAAAAAGGCCAAATTTGACACACAGTGCATTTCCGCAAAAATTAGAGAGCACTACAAATATTAATAATTCTCAAATCAGTGAATGGAATGCCTTTTCTGTTAATAGATGTCTTTTGAGAAATTACAGTGATGCATTGTTAATTTGTGTTTGTATAAGGTAAATATTTTATAAAATTTTAGGCTTTGAGAATACGGAAGCTATGGTAACACCTGCCATTTTACAGTGTGGCAAGACATGATTGTTTCCATCAAAAAGATTAAAGAAATTTAACAATATATTTTTTAAATCTTTTTGAATTGTGTGGCATAAATTTTACTTTTCCTTGGTATAATAAATAAAGTTCAGTGCACATGCTCTAGAACAGCCGTGGGCAAACTACGGCCCGCGGGCCGGATCTGGCCAGTTTGAACTGAATAAAACTAAAAAAAAAAAAAAGACCGTACCCTTTTATGTAATGATGTTTACTTTGAATTTATATTAGTTCACACAAACACTCCATCCATGCTTTTGTTCCAGCCCTCCGGTCCAGTTTAAGAACCCATTGTGGCCCTCGAGTCAAAAAGTTTGCCCACCCCTGCTCTAGAATCAGAGTTACTATAAGTGCATAGTTTTCTAGTTAAATCATGTTTCTTGTTAGCAGAATTTTACTACGCTTTGATTTGTTTTCTTAAACAACCTGAGCACATGAACTTCAATTTGTGCAAGGTTTTCAAAGGCTGATATATAGCCATTTTCAAAAAGATTATAAACAGGGGTATAGGGAAGGAGGGAAGAGGGAAAAGCATCTAAGAGGACCCATCCTTCTTTGCCTTACTCTAAAGAATTGTCCAAGAAATTAAAATTTGAGCCCAGCCACCATGGCTCAGTGGTTGAACATTGACCTATGAACCAGGAAGTCACAGTTCGATTCTTGGTCAGGGCATAAGCCCAGGTTGTGGGCTTGATCCCCAGTGTGGGATGTGCAGGAGGCAGCCAATCAATGATTCTCTCTCGTCATTGATATTTCTATCTCTCTCTCCCTCTCCCTTCCTCTCTGAAATCAATAAAAATATATGTTTTAAAAATTTGAAGCATTGAAGGCATTTGACAAATAAAATACAATCATTAGGAACCACCAGCTGGGTCCATCTCAAACACATAGTAAGCTCTATGTTTAATGAAGCCAATAAAATGACAGCATGAGCAGTTCCCAAGTACCTATTTCTTAATGCTAAAGAACCCTATAACTGATCATTAATGGGTAGATGAGCTTCTCTAACCATGAGATGGACTCACGGTTCTTAATGGTTTGTTTATGAAACAGCTGAGGTTTTTATTCAGCAGCAGCCATTTCAACATTTTTTAATAGCTGCTAAGTGAAATGTTGTGCTTAAGGTTATTTCAGTTAAGTAGTCTTTTAAAGTGCTGAGACTCTAATAGAGAAAGTTATGGAAGAAATCTCTAGTAGGCAAGAACAGGACTGCTACTACCTTTTAGCTAAAATTGTGAAAGTATATTGGGCCTAGTTTGCCTATAAATATACCATTTTAAAGTAGATGTATGTAGGGCATAAAACAGTGTTTTAAGAAGCAAAATGCTGCTTTCCTTACTATTTCTAATATACTTTTTATATTTTAGAAAAATGAATTCCTTTCTATATTAGAATACAAACATAGTAATTTGAATATAGCAAGTATTTCTTGAGAACTTGAGCACTGAGCTAAGCACTGTGGAGAATACAGAAAAACAAAGTACAGACCTTGCTTTAAAAAGCTAACAGGAGCCCTAGCCAGTTTTGCTCAGTGGATAGAGAATCAGCCCACGGACTGAAGGGTCCCAGGTTAGATTCCCATCAAGGGCACATACCTCAGTTGCATGCTCGATCCCATCCCTGGCCCCAGTCAGGGCATGTGCAGGAGGCAACCAGTTGATGTATCTCTCTCACATCGATGTTTCTCTCTCTCCCTCCCTTCTACTCTCTCTAAAAATCAATGGAAAAAAGTATCCTCAGGTGAGGATTAACAAAAAAAGCTAACAGAAAAATTGCCTTTAAGATATTTTTAAGAAATAAAAAGAAATTAATTAACTGTTGAATTGTATAGTACACATAAGTGACTTTGAGTGTTCAGAAAAAGGGGGAATCCATTAAAACTTGAGCATTCAAGGCATTGGCACTTGACTTGAGCCTTGAAGTCTGAATAGGATTTAAACTAGAGAGAAGAAGCAAGAAGAACCACATGAGCAAAGACAAGAGCCAACATAGCAGTGGCACTGGAAATGGAGGAATCATTATGGAATGATTTCACTTGGAACCACCTGAATAAAAGTAATGCAAAAAAACAAACTAGAAGGAAGGTGCAAAACCTATACCAAAGTCTAGGTTAAAGAGTGTCAATGTGCCATTGATAGAGATGAGGAATTTAAAAAGGGCAAGTAGTTTCCAATAAAAGATAACATTTAATTTTAGACATGTTTGACTTGTGGTATTATTATTTTGCAGCAAGATATCCAAATGGAAATTTTCAGTGTTCAATTAGAGATGAGGGACTAGAACAGGTTGGAAAATATAAAACTAGCGATATAGATTTGATTGTTATCAGCATAGAAGTAATTGTCAAAGCTATTAAATATAGATAAATTGGTATACTTTCCTTAGAAAGAAAAGCAGATAATTAAAAGCTAAATTTTGGGGGAAAGCAAGAGTGTTAGAGGAAAGTGAAAGAATGGAAGAGTGTTAGGAAGGGTGTGATCAACAGTGTCACAAGCTGCAAAGTCAAAGGGAAACGTTCTGAGAAGAGGACACTGAATTTGGCAATAAAGAAAAAAAGATGAACTGGAAACTGGAAAGGAAAAGTTCATTTGTCTTGTGATAAATGCAAAGAGAGAATAACAAAACTAAGAATTTTTTAAATAATAGAAATAATCCACACATTTTGGGGGTTATATATGTCTATATCCTCTACATATGTATGTGCCTTGCTACTAGATATGTGCTAGTAGAGTCCTTGTGTTTGATTGGCTTGTGTCCTTGAAAATAAGCTATTACCATAATAATATGAGGAGAATATAATATTCTCACATAGAGTTTTAATAGGACATTGGATTCTTAACGTCTTTTAAGTGACGCTACGACCAAAGTGCCATAAATCAGTTAAATCAAAAAGTATAGTAGGTTATTATTCAAAAAACTTTTATTAAACATCTATAAAATAACATTATGCTACTAAACATAATGGAAGATAGCAATATAAATAAACAGTAGTTTCTGTTTTCCAGGAGCAAAAAGAACGAAAAGATTGGCATTTGAATTTTGGTTCACCCCTTAGTATTTATATAACTTTGGGCAAGTCATTTAATTCATTACTTTTTGAAAAAAAATATTTCTGAGGGTCAGCTTCCTTATCTGTAAAGCCAGGATAACAATACCTCTCCTGTAGAGTTGTAGAGTCTAGAAATAGTAGTCTATTTACCTAGCATAGTATCTAGCGCATGGTAAGTTCATAGTTACCAGTAACTTTCTATTATTGCCTACTTCTTAAAGGGTTCTCTATAAATATTAGTATCTCTTCCTTTTTGCTTACACCCATCAATCACTAACAAAAATTGTGGCCACTATGATATATCACTAACATGCAAGAAGTAACCTTTGTTATGTCTTCTGAAATCAAAAAGTAGGTGAACCAAGGCCTATAAAATTCATTTTGACTTCCTAGTACAGATTTCAGTGAGCATACTTAAAGAGAGTCAAGAGCTTTCAAGGCTGGGATCTGTTTTCTTTTCTTTTTTTTCTTTTTTTAAATATATTTTATTGATTCTTTACAGAGAGGAAGGGAGAGAGATAGAGAGTCAGAAACATTGATGAGAGAGAAACATCGATCAGCCGCCTCCTGCACATCCCCCACCGGGGATGTGCCCACAACCCAGGCACATGCCCTTGACCGGAATCGAACCTGGGACCTTCCAGTCTGCAGGCCGACGCTCTATCCACTGAGCCAAACCGGTTCCGGCAGGATCTGTTTTCTTAAATGGGTTGAACATATACATAAAAGCCATTCATTAGGATCAACCTTTGAGTTTCTGAATAGTAACTGATTATAAGTTGTCAAAGTCTATGGTTCCAAAGGTTTTCTTAGTTTTTATTAGGAACGTTTTCATATATACACAAAAGTAGAAAGAATAGTAAAATCCACTCTCCCATACATCCATCAGCCAGTCCCAACAACTATCAACTAAAATGTTATTTTTGTGTTTTTTTAAATATATTTTTATTGATTTCAGAGATGATGGGAGAGGGAGAGAGAGACAGAAGCATCAATGATGAGAGAGAATCATCAATCGGCTGCCTCCTGCATCCTTCCTCCTGGGGATTGAGCATGCAACCCAGGCATGTGTCCTGACCAGGAATCAAACTGTGACATCCCAGTTCATAGGTCGATGCTCAACCACTGAGCCACACCAGCTGGGCTAAAATGGGTTTTAACAGAACCATTTCAGTAAAAAATTATATTTCCAGCTCTTTATCAGTGTTTCTCTAAATCATTATTTTTAATCCCATATCATGAATCTAGTTAGTTTATTTTATTAATAGTCAAATATTTATTTTCTATAAATATAAAATTTTTTTAAGACATGTTTTAAAATCACAACATCAAAAGAAAAATGCATGGCTTTTTTTTTAATGGGAGAGAGTTAAATATGCTGGTAGAATATATTTTGTTCTGTCTTTGTTTTTAAGGTTTGGCTTGAGCAACAAGTTTGATACTGAATTTCCCTCCGTTCTAACAGGGAAGGTAAGTGAGAGTTTGCTCTGAACTTTTCAATTCTAAAAACATTGTTTTATGATGTATTTAGTGTTATGAAAAATGTTTGACTCACTGGTAATGAAATCTCATAGTAAGAGGCCAGGGTACTTGGAGGCTGTGCCATTAGTGACTGAAGGCTATGCCTATGACCAGTTATTTTGTTCATTGTCCATTAATGCCAGCCATCATTTACTTATTTGTTCAGTTTTTACAGTTTTGCTGTTTTTCTCAGCCCTGGTAGCTATAACTGTTTTCATTTAGGTCAGTAATTTCCCTTGTGTTTGTGTGTGTGTGTGTGCGTGCGTGCGTGTGTGTGTGTGTGTGTGTGTGTTTTGTTGTTGTTGTAAGCGGCAGGAACGATACTGGGTGTTAGACTGATGGGGTCAGAACTGACCTGGGTTCAACAACCTCGGTACTTGAGTTCCGGCTAGGAAAGAATTCAGAGCCAAGATTCAAATGAACACTCAGTGAACATTTATTTGGTAAATGGTGGAGGTAGAAAGAGTAATTCCTAGAATAAATGGGCTTAAGAAACAAGTTATAGAGGTAAAGCAAGGGCCCTTGGATCTTGGGAATAAGGAAGGAAATGGCGACATGTGTGGTGGGAGAAGGAAGGGGAGAGAAAGGGAAGGAGAAGGTAAAGGGAAAGGCACTGCTGTGCTTTCAGGAGGGAGGGAAGAAAGAAGGGAGAGTGTGCTGGGTCCTCCATCCTAAGGGTTTTAAGGGTGAAGATTTGGGGGGAGGTCCTAGGGCAGTGATGGCGAATCTATGACACGTGTGTCAGTGGTGACACACGAACTCATTTTTTTGGTTGATTTTTCTTTGTTAAATGGCATTTAAATATACAAAATAAATATCAAAAATATAAATCTTTGTTTTACTACGGTTGCAAATATCAAAAATTTTCTATATGTGACACGGCACCAGAGTTAAGTTAGGGTTTTTCAAAATGCTGACAAGCCAAGCTCAAAAGGTTCGCCATCACTGTCCTAGGGGAAGATATTAATAGAACATTCAGCTTCTTTCCAGGTGTGTCCTTTCAGGGTCTAAGTCTCCACTGATTGATTGGTTGATGCCAGGGCAGGGGGTCATTATCCAATACAGCTGGTCCTGAGGTCATCCATGGGGTCACTGGTCTGGTTTTGTTGTTTTTCTGGGCCTGGAGCTGAAATACAACTGAGATCTAAATGTTATCTCTAGGGAGGAAAGGTCAGGGGGTCCAAACCACTTGACCAGTGATATGCTAGGGGAGGAAAAGTCACCCTGGGGGCGAGGTCCCACCCTACAATTGTCCTTTGCTAGGCACTTGGGCTTTCCACCCTGATGACTTGTACCTAGCCCATCGTCCTTGCTCTGCTCATGTCTGTCTAACTGCCTACCACACTTTCAGGCATTTCTTTTTATTTACTGGTGTATTTTTTCCAATGCAAATCAATTCCATAAAATGAGAAGTTACTATGAATCAAAGCATAAATATACAAACAATATATAATCAAAAATAGATGTACAGCATCTACTCTAATAAAAGAGAAACATGCAAATTGGTGTCACTCGGCTACATCTACCAGCCAATCAGGGCGACTATACAAATTAACCCAACAAAGATGGTGGCGGCCACGGAGCTGGAGGCTTGGGTTGCCCCCAGCGATGGAAGAAGCCAAGCTTCCTGCCCAACCTGGGCGCCGCTCAAGGAGTGGCTGGGGGCCTGGGTTGCCGGGGGTGACCCAGGCTTCCAGCCCACCCTGGCCACTGCTCAAGGGAGAGAACAACCCACAGGCATGGCCAGGAACCTGAGAGATCAACACAGAGGGGCGCCTGCTCTGAGCCTCCGATGCAGCTGGGGGCAGGCCCCCAGGAGGGACACACACACACACACACACACACACACACACACACACACACAGGGACACCTGCTCCGAGCCTCTGTTGCCAGACTGCGGCTTAGGCCAGCTCCCCTAAGCCATCAGTAGGACATCCACTGAGGGCTCCTGGACTGTGAGAGGGGACAGGCTGGGCTGAGGGACTCCCAACCCCCAGTGCACGAATTTTGTGCCCTGGACCTCTAGTTTAGGTATAAAACAAAGGGGAATGTTCATTCACACATGGAAACTTGAGATATTTGGATATGGTGTTGCTAAGTAGGTTTCCAAAGATGGAAAAAAATTACTATGGTTATCAACACTACTGTGGCCCTATTAGATACTGAAACATCTAAGCATCAATGTGTGACCATGCAAAACAAGACTTTAGAGAATGTCTATTTTCAAAAGAGTTTCTGTGCATTGAGGCAATTGTGAAAATATTTACTTTCCAGAATCAAGCCCACATTAGGCTTAGGATCATGTTCTAACTATATAAAAATATTGACCAATAAAAGAAAGTGTTCCAAATGTGGCTCTTCTGATTCATAGTTTTTTTTTTTTAAAGTATGTACAGAAAGTATAAAAGTTTTTTTGAATTTAATGTAACTAAGCTTCCAGTCTTTTTTTTTTTTATTGATGCTATTGGGGTGACATTGGTTAATAAAATTATATAGGTTTCAGGGTTATAATTCTATAATACATCATCTGCATATTGTATTGTGTGTTCACCAACCCAAATCTTCCGTTACCATTTATCCCCTCTTTACCCACTTCTACCTCCTGTCACCCCCCTTTCCCTCTGGTAATCACCATACTGTTATCTGTGTATAAGAGGTTGTTTTCCTTTGCTTAATCCCTTCACCTTTTTCACCCAGCCCACTATGATTTCATTTATATGTGAAATCTGGTGAACAAAATAAACTAACAAAATAGAAACATATTCATAGAGAACAGACTGACAGTTCTCAGAGGTAAAAAGGGGGTTGGCGACTGAGTGAAAAAGCTTCACATATTTGCCTTTTTAATTTTAAGATTTGTCGATTTTACCTTCAAAACAAATCATTTCTTAAATTGTAAAAAGTATTCAATATATGCAGAAATAAAAATTTTGAAATTAGTTGAGGTTCATGTACTTCAACTCTTTGGAATTAGTTTAGCAAAATGAATCTGGTACTCTTGTTGAATAGGGGAGTGATAAGTATATAAGCAAAATTTACTCATTATAGTTGAATTTGGAGTATATTCCAATACATCATTGACAGATTCTGGAATGAGATGGGGAAGGAGGGAAAAAAGACCTATAAATATTGGTACATATCAATTACTACATAAAAAGTCAAATGCAATGTCAAATCAAAGAGTTCAGTGCCTGAGAGAATAGTGATAAGTTAACAATATAAAACTTTATCTAGAGTTACATGGACATTAAATTAGTATTGTGAAACAATACATTGAGGATTTATAGGAATACCTGGAAATTCCTTCTAATGTACATATAAATAGAGCCATGGAAGCTTTTTACATTACCCATTTTATGGCCTTATAGCTTTAATGAACCAATTGAAATCTGACTCTGTTCCAAATCCCATCCCTTATCTCTAGATAAAATAAAATCTGTTCATTTTCAAAATAGAATTTTGTGTGTCCATACTTAAGCCACATTTAAGGAAATCACCTCTGAACTAATTTTGGATGCGTCTCTTCATCTTGTACATGAAGCTGCTACAGATTTAATATCAACATTCATCATCTAGTCAGACCCTATACATGTTCTTTAAACCAATCAAATATGGGATCCTAAACATTTTCTATGTCAATAAAATTAGGTGTGGAATTATCAGATTCAATGAAGACCTGTTTTTTCTCTGTCACACTGGATGTCTAGATTCTATTTAGATTGGGTTTGGAAGATGGAGAAATATAGACGTTTCTAGGCCTGAATCTTTTAACAGTAGAGGTGTAGAGATAGAACTAGATTGCTGAGAGCCTGGCTATTGACTGCAAAGCACTGCCACTTGCCTTAGTGGTGGTACTCAATGGATTTGGAGTAGTTAAGGTTTTGTGGGAGGGATTACTGGAAGGTGATAAAGCAATTGTTTGATTTGAATAAATCTGCATGGGTAGGAGCAACACCAGAAGCAGCAGCCCCAGTTGAAGCCTGGCTACATCACTTTGCCCATGTCCTCTCTGTCAGTGAGTGGCTGCATCTCACTTTGGATGTGGAGTGGGTGGGGAACCTGCGGCTCTAGGCAGGAGCAGGCAAGGTTTAATATCCGATGTTTTGGAGTGAACAAAGTTACCATTTTTCAACATTGCATCACTCTTTTTTAAGCTATCTTGTGATCTGATTTTGTTATATATCAAAAGCATCAAGTTTTTGGTTATTTTTATACCATTTAGATAGTTTGAATTTCTAAACTTGGATTCTGCAATAAATTATCTTTCTGTTCCCTCATTCCTCTATATTGAGTAGTTTCTTCCAATATGGAGATACATTAGTCAGAGACTTCCTTACAGCAGTAATGCTAACTTTTCAGCCCAAAAGGTAAGTCTCTGACTAAGGCAAAGGGTTATTTACACATTTTTGTTACTTGAGAAATGTAGATGAAGAAAGAGGAAAGCTGTTATATTATAAAATACTTAATAATTTCCAAATGGTTAAGAAGTGAGTGATTGGGGCCAAAATGTTGATTTGGGGTTAAAAATAAGTTAACTTTTTGTAGTTAGAAACCCATAATTTAATATCATTTTGTTTAATTTTACTATTAGAATAATGCTATTTCTTAGTATAGATTTTGGTCATACTTTAAAATCATTTCATTCTCCAAAGAGCTTTAATATGCTATTTTAGTGTTAATTTTTCTCCTATTCTAATTGAGAAAAACAAGGTTCAAGTCACTATGTATAGTGTGTATAATAAAGGGGAGAAATAAGCATATTAATAATTATAAGAAGTAATTCTAGAAGGATACACATGAAACTAATACAAGTGATAACTTTCATGGGAGAAGAAATGAAATGAATGGAAGCAAGGGTAAAGATGAAACTATTTTCTAAATATCATTTATTATTGAAAAATTGATAATAGCAATTAAAAGTGGAGGCGGAGTAAGTGCAAGTCCACAG